ATTAGCACATAGACCAGTAGGAAAACTACTGTTAAGAGCAGGTCATATACAGCGACATCTGCAATGGGCTGGAGACCACGTGCGTTTGCAGCCAAAACACTAGAATCACGTCGTTTTCAATTGAGGCCAGCTTTCAAAAGCTTTTTGCCCAATTTATATTTACTTCCAAAATTTACATTCCAAAATTCAACATGGCCATAAATGGCCATGACAGTGCAGGTATAAATTTTACTGCAATAATATGTAATAAAATGCCCTTTCTACACTGCTTTCATGGAAACACTTGTCTCAGAAATAGTAATTTCGAATCCCTGTGTTAGTATGGCAATGGCTGGGTCAGTCACCCCCACCACCAGTTAAATAAAAACAAGCAAAAAATGAGACCATAGGATGTAAGCTATATATAATAGTAAATAAAAGTCGCTAAAGGGGAGGGTTAGTTTCAGCTTAGTAAAATCAATCTTAGTAACATTCTTGTGGAATATAAATTAATGTAATTTTCTATCAATTTTTAAGCCAGAGTGTATCATATTGACTATAAATATATAGTCCCTTATACTCATTGACAGCCATTTCTTTCAAATGCGACATAATGCCTTAGTATATAAACTCAAATGTATTCTTTTCCATGTCAAATGTGAGTGATTAGCATGTACTTGAAACTTTTGTGTGATGTCCTAGCTCAAATGTGAGTGACTTGCATTTATTATGGGGCATTATGTGTCTTTTACCGAGTCTTCAGTTATTGTTGGCCATTTGATCTTTCTTTTTTTGTAAATAAATTTACATGGTCACACATCTAATAGTGATGAGCACTATTAAAAACATAAGTACTCATCCAAACTTTAGATGAAATGAGGAATTTTGCTGTCATATTTTAGTCTATTGGTTGAAAAGATGTAAATTCATGGTTATTGGTGGCTATTTTGAATTTTGAAAGCCATATTGTAATCCAAATTAACTCAAGTAATTAAAAAGGGTTCTGTTTTCATATTTAATACACCAAAATAAATGAAGAATTTAATTTGGGATAATAAATCTGCCAGATTTCAAGACAGGACAGCAAAATGTAAAATACATGTTTTGTGGCAGCCATGATAGATTTCAGGATTTTTCACCTCAATAAAAAAGATTGCACCTTAAACAAACACTACAGGCAGAAAGTAGAGATTCCATGTTACATTGGTACGTTAAAACATCTTCCATATTCCAATTCCTTAATAATTAAATAAAAATTGAAATATTACAAATTATCAAAATTTCTTTAATTTCTTTAAAAATCGGAAATTTATATATAATAAAAAGGAAGGTGTGTTGATGGGAGCTCACAATTAATGTAAAATTGATTTTATCCTCTGACTCTTTAGTTAGTAAAATGTCGTTTCATTCTTCTCCGTTTGCAAAGTTTAAAGCATTGAAACTGGTAATCTCTGTAGCAGTATAAAGCATTATCTGAAGATGAGTCAAGAGTCGAGTGCACAGCCTTTGATATTTAATTCAATATTTATTTTAATATTTGTCTGAGTACAATGTAATAAATTTAATGGCCTGACAAAATCCTGTGCACCCCTAATTCCTAAAGTTCCACATAGACATAGGCATATTAATTAGCTTGTATTTAATTTAAGTAGTAATCATATTTCTTAATTGAGGACTAAGATGTTAACAGATACTCTGTATATTTTACAGGCTCACTACATAACGCATTTTTCAAATACATAAACAATATATATGATACTGTACAAAGACAACTAAAAAAACAAAGGACAATCCATTTGAGAAGTAGTACCTTTTATCTACCTTGCCTACATTATAAGTGAATACGAAGTGATGAACACAAGACAATTTACCACGTACATGTATCAAGCTGTCTTTGTCATCGGTCATTACAATAAATGAGTAAAATTACAATTCATGAATCTCTCTCTCTCTCTCTCTCTCTCTCTCTCAGTCAAAATTGTATAATTTTAATGGCAGTTCTCTTAATCTTTCCAACAAGCACCAGTGTCTACAAAGAAATATGAATACCAATATTTAAAAATGCTCACAATATTATAGGCACAGGTTCCCAACTGGATATGAAGGAAACAATATATTTCTGATCCAGATGTGTCATGTAATCTCAACTTGATGGTAAATTAAAAGCGAAAATTGCACTGATCTTTTTTTCTAATGACAAAACTTGCCACATAGATCAGGCAGTAAGACCTCACAGTAGCAAGTCAGTTTTACTCTTAGGCTATGCCAGTGATGTGATAAAGCTTACCTCACCAGATCAGGCAGTAAGACATCCAAGTGTCAAGTAGGTTTCACTGAATACCGGGGCAGTGCCGCGGTGTTCCTCTTAGTGGAAGCGGCACACAAGAAGCCATCCAATCACAATCATGTTCATTGGAATACACCTGTTTGTTTTTGCATTCAATTTTCCTAAACCATTCGCAGGTAATGTACAGACCCGCTTTTTCTGTTCAGCATGAAACATGTTTTATCCATTTCAAAAAATGAGGTGACTTTTAGCAGGTGTGCAGTTTAATATTATATACCCTGAAATATATCATTATGTGACTTTACTTGAGTTCTTTAGTTCATTTTCTCCTTTATATATCAATGTATTGTATTTAGAATATCGTAAGGGACAGTGCTGATCAACACATTTATAATACTTACAAACAGGGTTGGAAATGTAAAAATTAATTAAATTCATTTTACCTACTGAGGTACCTGAAAATAATTTTCAGCCATCACTATGACAATTGCAAATAAAGCCACCAAAATTTGCGTAGTTATAGACAAAGGGGTAAAGAACACTCCAACACCACTAAAACCACTTAGCATCTTAACATCCTACAGCAGGTATTGTTTATGTCCCCAGATGGTGGAGAACCCACATCCTCTGGCTCCAAAGGTGAACCCTTTGGCCTAACCTTAAGATGGTCTGTATAGAAAACAGCATGGAGAACACCATGGAACCAAAACAGCACAGATTTCACCTTAAAACAACTAGTATGACATCATGACAGCAAAATGACAATTATACTTTTTCTCCCGCAAAAAATGTCCATGAACATTATATTATACAGGCCCGTAGCCAGCAATTTGAAAAGGGGGTTATTTTCTGAAGAAGTGGACCTTTCACCCTGAAACCTCCGTGCACCTAGATTAAATTTTACCCTGAAGGGACCTTTTCCCGGCAAAAAGGGGGTTCTTTCGAACCCACCTAATCCCCCTGGCTAAGAGCCTGTTATATTATATGGCTGTGTAACCTCTAGTTTTACATTAAGTTGTCTTATTTTGACTACCAAGATATATAACCACCTTAAATCATCATTGAACAGTTTGTACACTGTTTTAGGGACATTGACTAGAAACCCAATCTCTCTTAATATCCATTAAAAATCGGAAGGTGTGCCATTAATATCATTCTCATTAGTCTTCTGGCTCAGGTGTGGACTCTCTGGTCTGACCACAAGATGCATGATCTGTAGGGGAGCTTCTCAATAGTCCGAAGGTTCAATGGTCCGAAAAATCGTAACATTTTCACCAGTTTAATCAAGGGCTCATTGGTCCGAAGGTTCTATAGTGAACATTTGGACCAATGAATCTGCATACTATTAAACCTTTGGAGTATTACTATGGCCCCATCTGAAGACAACATCATGGAGACACCAGGGTACCAAAACAGCACAGATTATACTTTTTCTCAAGCAAAAAAAGTCCATGAACATTGTATTTTATTACATGGGTAACCTCCAGTTTAATTTAAAATTGTTTGAAGTCTGATTTTGGCTTACGGGATATAAATAACCTTAAATCATCATGGAACAGTTTGTACACTGTTTTAGGGAGATTGCCTAGAAACTCAACCTCTCTTAATGTCCATTTAAAATTGCAATGTGTGTCATTGATATCACTCTCATGAGATCTCTCTCTTCATTTGTATTACCCCTCTCTATTTTCTCTCAGCATAACAGTATGAAAAGTTGGACTACAGCATTTCACCTGCATCTGTGATTTTTGCATAAGTGCATGAAACATTTTTAAAGCAAAACCTTAATGGAACCAGAACGAGAGCATATTCATTTTAGTGTTGAATCCCCCCCTTCGTTCTCTCTCTCTCTACCTGAAACATTAGCACATCCGTAGCTAGATTAAAAGCTTATCAACCCTATTATTTACTTTCACAAAATATTCTACCAGGACAACTAAATAACTAAGACAAAACCTATAAAAATGTCTGCATTACATCTCTGAATCTCATTACTTATGCGAAAGAAATGAAGCATTATATTTCCCTACGTGACAAGTACAGTACATAATGAAATAATGATATGGGATGTCTTAGATCAAGGCACAATTGAAGCCCATCTTTAATTTAACATGTCCTTGGTAAATGTTACTACATGTCTTTTCTTAAAAGATTCAACATCTTTAAAAGTATCATCCTCTGATGTATTTTACAAATCATAGGTAATGAAATACAAGTATATCTCATTTGCCACACCTGTAAGTATCATAATATGTACCTTGATCTAAGACATCGCCTGCATATGCCATACAAACAAAGTGGCAGCTTGGCCAATTAACTTGGTTATTTAACTTGCCCATTATGCTGTAACAATGCAAAGACACCATAAAGAATGTGCCCAGCCAGGGCGTAATAAACATGGGGTCTGGGCTTTTTATGCATAGGACTACATTTGATCCGGGCCTTTGACATATATATGTTTGACAGCTTTGCTGCTTTGTTTCCTGTATGGTGTCTGTTTTTTGGCCACCTTTGCTGTTTAGTCTAGTTTACTTATTTCATTTATTGATTTTCTGTGAATACTGTCTAGACAAAATGTGTTTGTCAAGTTTTATCCGCAGTTTTGCATAATGTGCCATTATTGAAACATTGAAAAGTAATCCATTAAAGGCCAATTCCGCAGGTTTTTCCTGCTAAAATGAATTGTTAGAGGTGCATTCCATGTGTTTGAAAACCCCCACAGCCATATGTATATCTTGTAAGCTTTTTATGTTTCCTCAATTCAGACTATAGAGACCCCAAGACAACAGAGACCCCTTAAATAAGGGTCATTGTGTCATTATTATCTTCTCTGCCTCCATGAGTACCCATTGCTAACTTGCAACATCTCTATTAAACATGGCGCAAGGACGCTATTCAAAACTACTCCTCATTTTCTTGTGTGAAAAGAAGGCAATGCTTGTGACCACAAATGTCATTCATTATGACTGCTTAGTCATTTTAATTAAAGTCTTCAATTAATGGAATAAAACATTGAATCCAAATGCTAGGACAGGCCTTGCTCTTTACCCAGAAAAATTTATTTTGGTAAAAAAGTCCAATTGAGTAGCCCTTTATCTCTGTTGACAATATAAGAACATAAAAAAGTACCAAATGCAATGCCATCAATGTTTTATTTTCATCTGTATGACACAAAATTCATACACTAAATTCAATGTTTCTGTAAATAAATCTTTCTTCTATCTGTGATTCTAGATAATAATACAGCTCTAGTTTCCTTTTTTAGCAATAACTTCATGATATTGATTTTAGGAAAGTTTATACAGTGGTCCCTGTAAGAAATGAAAAAGTAAATGAGCAGCGTGATTTCATTTTGGTTCATTTATTGTATACCATTAAATATCTTAATGTACACTTCTTTTACAAAAAAAAAAAAAAAAAAAAAAAAAAATATATATATATATATATATATATAAAAATATATAAATATATATAAAAATATATATATATTTATATAT